TGGTAAGTTACTACGACTGCAGGGCTTTGCTAGTCTTTTTCGTTTATTAGTCTTTGACACAATTTCAATCATTATTAATTCCACTAATACTATTTCATAGTATTAAATGGAATGGAATGTGGTTTGGAATGGAAAGCTACATTATCAGCGAGTAATATAGGTTACTTTTTACCGCGATAACCAACACTAATATCGTAGTTTTTCTTGAAAATATATTTATAGCAATGTTAAGCTTTCCGGTATTTCGTTATTACAACATTTTCCTCGATAAAAAGAGATGTTGGTAAAGATATTGTAAAGCTTATAATGGTTCCAAATAAATAACTACAGGCAATGTTTAGTATTATCATTATCGGCCACGATACTCCACCATAGGCCTTGAGAATCACGTAAGTGACAAGGAATTCTTATATCGGAAGCTTAAATACGTACTCTAATCGTCGACATCCCGTTATGTAGAAATGTGGCTTCACTCTGCATTCTCTATCGCATATATCATGGAGAGTGCTCCGAGGATTTGTTTGTACTAATACCAGCCGCAACTTTCCGCCATCGTTCCACACGGAAAAATGTTCATCCTCATCACCTGGAAAGTTGGCGCTCCACTACTGTGCGCTTTTCGAGACACTTTCACAACCAATCTGTGGAACGGGTTATCGTCTGCGGTATTTTCAGACCCATACGACCTTCAAATCTCCAAGAAAAAAGCGTAATCCTTCCTAAAGGCCGTCAACGCGTTTGTGACTCTTGACACACGTTCATGTTGTTGCAGTCGTTCATGGGCGGCAATGGTCACTTTCCATCAGATGACCCGTCTGCTCCCTCTAACATAAAAATAAATCTGCAAAAAATCGACAAGAACAAATACATTGTGTTTTCTACCTGTTTTTCTTTGTAGGGTCTACTTATTGGAGCAGGCAAAATAACATAATTGAATTCGATTTGACTGTCACAATTTCTTTTTGAGTCGAGATGACGAAACTATTGATCTAGTGGGTAGTGAGTAGTGACCCTGAGTGTTGAACTGGAGGTCGTGGCTTCGATTCTAACTCAGAAGAAATGATTGTCTGATGAACACGATCATTTATTGTGTTTGGATGTAATTTATATACAATATGTATTTATTTAGCAATATTTAAACAGTCTGGTACCATAGCAACAGACTTTGCATAGTTTGCGATCAGACTGCCGTGTGTGAGATGTTTGAATTATATATAGGCATATTTTTTTTATTATCTGTACTAAAAGGATTATAACGGTGGTACGAGAGGTACGAAAAAAGTAAAGAATTACTGCAGCTAAGGATATTAACAAGTCTAAACGTATTTAAACACTGATTTAAAACAATGCTGTGTGAATTTTTATTATTTTATTCCAAAGTGTCTTCTCAAAAGTTACGTAAGTGATACATAGGATCCATTTTTTTAGGAAGCTGAAGGCTAAATTATCGAGGGATTGTGTGAAATTGATGAATCAGGAATAAGTCCTCTGTGATATCCTGAATAAGACATGTGCAGCACTCATGCAGTCCCCACCTTTTTTTTCTGTACGGAAATCAACTCGAATACCGGGTACCTATGGTGGCTTTGTCGGACCCCACCTAACATTAAGATTATACTCAATTTTCGATGAGTGTTTTAAAATCAAACGATAAATTAAGGGCAAAATTTTTAGGTATTAACAGCTGTAAGTGTTTGAAGAAGCGGAATTCAGCCAGGATCATCTAACATCATCGAATTTGGTTTTTGAGAATAATTGGAAACCATTGGTCAATCTTAATAATGAACCCAACAGGTGTATCAAAAAGTTGCTGAGTCATTAAGAACTGGGCTCCGAAAGTAATTACTATTCATTAAAGGCATTAAAGATTGTGCCAGTTTGCCAGTTCATAAGATTAATGACCAGTCCCAGTGATACTATTCAGAGGAAACCGATGAAAAAAAAAATGTAATTTCTGCAGAATATTCAACCACTTAAAACTGTGGGTCCCGCTTGCCATACAAACATCCGTGGCTATCGTTATGGGTAGTTAGGACCTTAAACAATCCAACAATGGTCGTCCTACAGAACTTGGATAAAAAAAAACAAAAAAAAGACTTTATTCTGTAAGAAAACACAGCATACAACTTAATTTAATTACTAACTTAATACAACTTACAATAATATTACATTTTTTTTAAAAGCTTATAACTATTGACGTACGTGCAACACTACTCTACGCTATCTGTGGTCATGAGTATTTAGTTATCTGTGAGACTGTGATCATATATGACGTGGCGCTAACGTGGTGATCACTATTATTTTAGGTTAGGTACCAGAGAGAAACTATGTTTTGCATGTCCAGCAAGGCCAACCAAGCAGGCCTCTCAATCTTAACCACATAGATAGCTTATATATCGCCTAGTACTTGTATTGTGAAGGACTGATGAACGTCGCTAGGCGTAAAAAATCGAAGTTAAGCCGTTTCATATTAGACTTAAAGCAAACCCAAACCCAGTTCGGGAAAAAGGCTCAAAAGAACAAGATTTAAGTACTCAGTAAGAACAGTTTTTTAATTGATATAAGACAAATCGCATTGAAAAATTTGATCGTAATAAAACTTTAGGTATCGTTCCGTAAATAGTTGGATAGACATCTGGTTTTGTGGTAAGTATCGTATTTAAAATAATAAATTAAGAAAACTGTAAAACGCATTTATGAGCTTAGTAAATATTTGATTTATGGGATATTAGTGATTTATGTTCTGGTTCAAAATATTGGTTCGGCGGTGCAGGAATATTGAATGGGTTAAACGCGAAACTATACTCGCGCTGCTGATAGAAAAACAATGAAAAAAAATGGAAGTCAGGGGTTTTTAAACGTTTAAAGTCCGTAGAACCCAGTTTACGGACCATTGATGCCCCGGCTACATGATACAATTTTAAAGTCATAAATCTAAATCAAACAAATACCTGTAGTATGTATGTAATATTCTACCAAAAATAAATCTGTTTTTGTCTGCCGCTTAGTGGTTAGGGATCCTGACTGCTAAGGCAGAGTCGTTGATTCGATTCTTACCTATGACATTTTATTTAACTGTGTAATGAGCACGATCATATTTTGTTATGTCTGGGTAATTTATTTGTTATTAAATATTCTTTAAGGTAAATTCAGAAATTCTCTCGATCTCACAAATATCATAAAAGATATTCTCGTAGTAAAATAGTAAAGTGTTATTAAGACTAGTAGAAACTTATAAATATCGATTCAGGTTTCGGTCACAATGCGATATAATCAGATTACAGTCAAAGGTAGATCTTTAATATTTTTTACTACGAGAATACCATTTTACAATTTTATGACATTTGTGTGATCAAGAGTAGATCGTCACTAAATTTTGAACGAATTTTATTACGAGAATTGACCTTCAGGCTATACTTAGTTTAGAATCGTACGGCCTTGTGTAAGATGTGTCAATTTATTATAAATTATTATAATATATGTATTAGCTAATAAAACAAACAGATGGTGTTCCTTGAGGTAAAAGACAGCTCAAATTGAAACACAGTTAAAGAGTATTCAAAATTCTCACTATTCGTGGATACCATTACATTTCCATTTATTCAATGAACCTATTGCATTCCTCTTAACTAACTTAGTAGCCTTACCCTTAATTAAGCCAATTACATTATAGAATAGCCCACCCGCTATTCCGCTATAATGTAATTGTAAATTGTAATTCTATAATTGTAATTCTCACCCAACTATGTGAGAAATACAGGAGTGCGCACAAAAACTTGCATATAGTGTTTGTGGATCTCGAAAAGGCAGATGATAGGGTACCCGAGAGGTTTTGTGGTGGGCTTTGAAAGAAGAAAGAGTGCCTGTTAAGTATGTAGAATTTATTCGTGCCATAGCACGAATAAATACTCTCTGTACATATACAGAGAGTCTAGCACTCATGTAAGGTCGGTCACGGGAAACAGTGATCAATTCAGTATCTCTGTAGGCTTGCACCAGGGATCAGCTCTGAGCCCATACCTCTTCCTGTTGATAATGGATGCTCTGACATCGGACATACAGGAGGAAGCACCTTGGTGCATGCTATTTGCAGATGACATTGTGTTGGTCGGTGAGGATGGGGTTGAGGTCCAGAGCAGACTGGAAAAATGGCAACAAAGGCTGGAAATGTTGGCTTGAAAATCAGCAGATCCAAAACTTAGTACATGTTTTGCGATTTCGGCGGTCTCTCCAGTCCTGAAACCATTTCGCTGGATGGGATAGCGATAACAGTCTGCTCCAATTTCAAGTACCTCGGCTCCCTCTTACAATGTGATGGTGAGATTGATCGAACTGTACAGCATCGAATCAATACGAGATGGATGAAGTGGCGGCAGGTAACGGGAACAAATTGTGACCCCAGTTTCCCCTTAACACTGAAGGGACAAATTTATAAAACTATTATCAGACCTGCCGTCTGTATAGTTCTGAAAGTTGGCCCATTAAGAGAACGGATGAGAGACGCCTGAACGTAGCCGAAATGCGAATGCTGAGATGGACTCAGATGGACAAGGTTAGGAATGAGTATATACGAGGGAGTCTGAAAGTAGCGCCACTGGATGAAAAGTTAAGAAGTAATAGGTTATCTTGGTATGGACATGTCATGCGGAGGGATGAGGAAAATGTGGCGAAGAAAGTATTAGGTATGGGAGTTGAAGGGTACAAGAGAAGAGGCAGACCGAAGAAAAGGTGGATGGAGGATATGGCTAGGAAGGGAGTAAACAGTGAGATGACGCATGACAGAGTAGAATGGAAAAATCATACATACTGCGCCGACCCCAAATAAAATTGGGAAAAGGGTAGGCAGATGATGATGATGACTTGGATAACAGTCCCATTGGATATTAATTTAAAAGAAATAAAATATTGTCAAAAGTAATTTAAAAGAGAATAAAAGGTTTGAAAAAGAATAAATACTTTTATCATTATGATCATTTTAAAGTATATTAACCCTTTCCCAGATGCACCAGAGTTGATAGTTCTGACAACAGCAACTTCAGTACCTCTACGATTTGGGCTCGAGTACTTAACGCAGTGTGTCGCTACCTGGTCAGAGAGGAGTGACCTGGTCTGGCACATCATCAAAGTGGTTCTTATTTACACGTGAGTATGATACATTTCACAAAAATCCTATTTATCGTTAGGACAGAGCCGACAAAGCGCATAAATGGGCCGGCTTGACCGGAGTGATACCACGGCCTCACAGAAAACTACTGTTAAGCAGTTCCTTCATTTCTCAGCACTGAGCCCTTATACCATAAAAAAAAAAGTTTCCTGAGGACCGAACCTCTCTTCCTCCTTACTCGGTGGTTGTGGAATTCGAAAGGCATAATGCGCTTCTGTCTTTTGAGTTGTTAGTGTCCTACGGCGGCGGTAAGAAATTATCATAGGGTGACTCGTCTATTCGTTTGCCCCTATACCATAAAATAACATTCTGCATCAGGGCAGACGGCCTCACCTACCAACGCCAGGCCTAAGCCTAAGCCATAGGGATGACTGAAGTTCTTCAGCGTTCTTTTTCTGAATAGGGGGTAGTGACATTCCGTATTTTTAATCCATCACCACACGGATATACATAGTACTTGATGCATACATAATTTTGATCTCAAAGGTCATCGTTTAAAAAAAATATTTGAATATCTATTTAGTCGTTAAAAAATTGTATCATCATCATCAACAGCCTTTAACAGTCCACTGCTGGACATAGGCCTCTCCTTAGAAAGGAGGTTTTGGCCTACTAAATCACGCTGGCCAGACGGGTTGGTGTAGGGTTTGTGACAAGTTTTCCTTCTCTCTGCAGTGCTGTTGTCCTGTTGGCTCCCTTAATCGGCTCTCAAGACACCCGCGAGATGAATAGGGGTGGCGACACTCTGTATTCTTAATCCGTCACCACACAGACAATCGTAAAAAATCGTATAACAAGCAAATTTCGACCTAGTGCTATCCGCCTTAAATTAACTTTCGACTATCGCAATGATAATTTCAAGTTTTTTTTTAACTGACTTCAAAAACACAAAAGATGAAGTTATCAATTCGGCTGTATGTTCTTTTTTTTGTTTGTTTGTTACGCGATATCTCCATCAATTGTGGACCGGTTTTCAAAATTCTTCTGTAATCGAAAGGGTATACCCCCAAAGTGGTGCAACTTTTTTTGAAAAGATAACTCCCGCGCTAGTAGTACATCCTGTGTCGCGGTGGACTTAACAAACATACATGAAACGAACACAAAGGACTCAGACTCAGAACAACATGTTGTGGATAACACAAAGTGTTATTCCATGTGGGGTTTGAACCCAACACAGGATTTATTCCTAGTGCGGGTGTTGTCTTTTAAAAAAAAAAGAAAGAAAGAAAGAAAGAATTATAATGTAAATAAAATGAAAGGGCAACGGCAGGCGTGTATGGGGCTATTTTACCGCCTAGCGAATTTAATGGTAGGAATTATTTTGTATTGGTTTGGCTAGTAATATCATTACCAATTAATTATAGTTTTAATACTGAGGTTTTTAGAACGTTGCTTTCAAAATTTATTTCAGTGTGTAGTTTACATATAGGCTGTACTGAAGTCGATACCCATGACAGTTCATTGGCTGTCACAAATGAGTTGTCATTGCTGTCAACATGTTTACTTAAATATTTTGTTACTAGCTGACCCGCGCAACTGCGTCTGCGTCTCTCAATAGTAATAAATTTTCTCCGTTTTTGAAACATTCTTCATTAGTGTTCCGCTCCTATATGTCTTAGCGTGATGATATATAGCCTATAGCCTTCCTCAATAAATGGGCTATCTAACACTGAAAGAATTTTTCAAATCGGACCAGTAGTTCCTGAGATTAGCGCGTTCAAAAAAACAAACAAATAAACAAACAAACTCTTCAGCTTTATAATATTAGTATAGATTAAAATCTTATAGACACAATACTAGTATATATGAAAGTAGTAGGTAAATATATTGTTCTTGTCCTGTTATTACTAAAAAAAAATCGGTTGTCTGTAAAGTCGGTTTACTGACGATAGCTGAACGTGACAACGTCATAAGAAAATACTGATGGAAAGGTTGCATTTTTCAAAAGAAAATTTTAGTTACGCTTCATACTTGACGAAAATATGTAAATGTATTATTGTATAGCAGCTGTCCACGCGGACGCATCGCTGACTCAAGTAGGAGAGAGACAGATGTCGAACGCTGCCGAACGCGGAGGCCGATTGTGCCTCTTTGTCGCTCGTTCCGCGCTCTCGCTTGCACTTCAAGTCTTAAATGGAACGATTCAGAGCGAGGTAACGCCGCATGAGTCATGTTTTTTCGTGCGTGCAGCCGGCTCCATCGAATTATAAGACGTTGTCACGTCAAAAATACGTAAAATATTTGCACCTAGCATTGCTCCGAACAAAACTGCTCATGGTTTTATCTAACATCAATCGATCGATTGCCATTATAATTAAGCAACGGTAGGTAATCCTTAATTTTATGTTGTATTCTTAGGGTATAAGGAAACTGATCAATTAGTAAAAAAATAGTCCATTTTCTTCATATGCATAATATGGGTGTACAGTTCTTGGGTTCAATGTAATAATATAATATATAATTTATCTCACACATCTCACACACGGCCGTCTGATCCCAAACTAGGCAGAGCCCGTACTATGGTAACCAGACTGCTGATAAACATACTTATATATTTTTAAATACATACATATTTTAGATAAATTACACCCAGACACAGAACAAATGACCGTGCTCATCACACAATATTTGTCTTGGGTGGGAATCGAACCCACGACCTCTGGTTTAGCAGTCAGGGTCCCTAACCACTAGACCAACAGGCCTGTCAATGATTATGAATACATATATGATTAATTTTTAGATTAAGTAAAAGTCAAAAAGACAAAGTAAGATTGCTCTTACTGTATTGTCTTCTGGCATAGCTGCCGCATTATTGTCGGGTGGTAAAACTGCTGATACAATATTCAAAATACCTATACAATTAGAAATTACCGATGATTAAAATTACTGATGTTTTCGTGATTGTATGTATGAATGTATGCATTGAAATGCACTGAAAGAAGAGCGTGTATAAAGAGCGTTGCAAAACACCTGGCGTCACGGAAAGCCTTTGGATTGACACTACCAGTTGATCCGGTTAACCTTCGTTAAGGCCTATGATCAGCAGCAAAAAAATGGAAAATTACAAAAAAAACATGAATTTTGGATCAGGATGCAGGATCATTGAAATCATTGGAATTTTAATGATTTTTGACTCAGAATGATGGCCCGAATACACTATTTCAGTATTCCTCACGACGCACATTGTGACGTCCCACATACAAAAATATAAAAATACATTATTTATCACACATATTTACACATTACTTAATCTCAACACCAAATTAAACTGTTTTTAGGGTAATTATTTAAAACATAATGTCAAAGTTCCTACTTTCGAATCATTCACTAGACGTCAAAATAATTGCGCTGTTAGATGTGGCATACTGTGCATTCTTGTGTTTACTTGTAACACTTGTGCTGTGCTGCGAATTATTTTCATTGTAATCTTATTGCCCCGTTCCTTGACCTAGTTATTTAATAAAAAATCTGTTACTATGGATGAGTACAGGTCATTTAAGAATATTGGGTCTAAAAATCTGTAGTTGTACTACTTTTTTTAGTGTACAATGACTGTCGTATATTTTTATTGCATAAATCATATTTTCTTTTAGCAAATACGTCAAAAGTTACATTTAAATCTTGTTTCGAAATCACCAAACATGTTGGCAAAAATGAAATTGCCAGTCATATACAAGATATATATGGTTTGCATGGCGACGAACATGTAAATACACTATTATTTACATGGTCGGGGTCTTGCAAACCGAACCAGAAAAACGTCGGGCTGTCTTTTAGTCATTAGTAGATCTAAACACTGGTTTTAACACAAACTAAGAAAATACATCTTGAAAATTATTTTTAGTATTATATGCTTTTAAATATACCTATTCATGGCCCTGCTATCATTGCATCATTCTTCGTGCTTATCGGCAAATTATCAGCAGAGGTTTTGGAGTGCAGGCATAAAGATTTTAGATGTAAACGTGAACATTGCACTCGAAAAACATCACACTCTTGCTTACATCTAATCCGGTAATTGCCGGAAAAAACTTCTAACAACAGGAAATTCAGTAAAGAGGTCGAGACCTCGAATTGCTATAATACTGATATCAATAAACTGATATTCTATTCGCCCTATATTAAGACTGACAAGAATCGAGAAAATTTTAATATTTATTTCTCAGGTGATTTTTCCGATAGTGCATGATTTTTGATTTTTTTCTGTAACTTTTTATTTTAATAATTGATATAATTGTTTTTTTCTTTTTGTTTGTAGTCGTAAACACATTATGATATGCCCTTGAACTTATGATTTTATATAGTTTCTCTCAAACATTCGTTACACTGTCCCTTACACCCTGTATTATGGCAATTCAATTACTGTTACTTAATACTTATTACTGTTACAAATATCAGTTGTCATGGACGTGACGTGATTCGCTCTAAGTGTTGTCCAATCTATAATAATGGATTGTTCTAAGCTTTGGTTCATAATTATGTTTAATTAACGTACTAGTAGGCCAAACCTCCTTTCAGAGGAGAGGCCTATGTCCAGCAGTGGACTATCATAGGCTGCTGATGATGATGATGAACGTACTCACGATAGTTATTAAGTACATCATCTAGTTCCCCGGTTACTGGTACTCGAGACAGCGGCTTACAGTCGGTTCGAGTCCGACATAACCATTCCATCGGTCATCAGGTGGAGTGTATCCGAGAGAATTTCTATACCTTTGATTTGCCTGACGTTTCACGGGCTGTGTTGACTGGTGCCTGTGCATGATTAGAAAGTGTTCCTCTATTAAGAAAGTGTGTATTAAGAAAGAAAGACTACTTATTTTATATATATATAAATATATATATATATATATGTATATGTATGTATGTATAAAGTCCGTTACATTAGACTTCTTAGAAAAGTCAGTTAGAGGACATATACATTAAATTGTTTACATAAGTAAAAGAACTAACAGTAGATTCTACTGTTAGTTTCTTAGTCAAGTTATATAAGCTATTACATGTGTGATAATTTATGTCATCGAGGTAAAAAATTGCCTATGTTTCTCTATGATAATGTAGCTTTGCATTAGTGAAGTTTTTTTTTAAATCGGTTTAGTGGTTTAAACTCGTGGTCGTAACAAACAAACTCCCTTCTATAATATACTAGATAGAATATCCAACCCGTGGGTGTCGTAAGAACCGACTAAGGGATCAGAAACAGAAGTAAAACTTGAAAAAAACACTTTTTTCTTTTTTTACCAACCCGTTACAGTAGGCTAAAACCTCTTTTCTAAGAAGAGGCCTATGTCCTGCAGTGGACTGTCATAGGCTGTTGATGATGATAGATTAAGAAAGCTTTCTTAGAATGTACTAATTTCATACATTTCTTACAGGCTACCGCTTCTGCTGATGACTATAGCGTACGTTCAAATAGTGAAAGTGCTGTGGAGATCAGAGAAGATACCAGGGCAAGCAGAAACGGTTAAGTTAGCCTCAGCTGAACAGAGTAAGTAAAAGTTCTAAATCATTTTTGAAATTAAATGTAATGACAGTTGAATAATATTATTTCAAACCTCACACATCTCACACACGGCACAGCACAGAGCCTGTACTATGGTAACCGGACGGCTGATGAAGTATATTCATCAGGCGTCTAGTTATCATAGTACAGGCTATATCTAAATACATACATATCTATACTAATATTATAAAGCTGACGAGTTTGTTTGTTTGTTTGTTTGTTTGAACGCGCTAATCTCAGGAACTACTGGTCCGATTTGAAAAATTCTTTCAGTGTTAGATAGCCCATTTATCGAGGAAGGCTATAGGCTATATATCATCCCGCTAAGACCAATAGGAGCGGAGCACCAATGAAGAATGTTTCAAAAACGGAGAAAATTTATTACTATTGAGAGACGCAGACGAAGTTGCGCGGGTCAGCTAGTTATAGATAAATTACATACAGACACAGAACAAATGATTGTGCTCATCACACAAATATTTGTCGTAGGTGGGCATCGAACCCACGGCCTATGGTTTAGCAGTCAGCAACAGGCCCATCAGATGTTCCATTTGTAATATACAACTACTGTTATGCTATGTTAAATATATTATAATAGTATAGTACAGCCCATAGTACAAGCTCTGCTTAGTTTGGGATCAAATGGCGTTGTGTGAATATCGTAGCATGTGTAAATTATTATCATTATTATAATTGATTAAATTAACAAGTAAAATAATGAATATCTCTCAGCCATTAACCTCAATTCCCTAACAGTATCTAAATTGACCAATTTTAAACGAAAAATTGGACGGACATAATTTTGTTGGCATATTTCTTTAGTATCTAGTCATGTAAATATACAAAAGAATATAGGTTTAATCCCTAAACAATTTTATCTTAGTTAGTAATGACTAAGATAAAATTGAAGTCAGGAATGAAATATATTCCAGTTTTAAGCTGGGGAAGATATGTTTACATCAAAACATACCCAGTGGGGTGGTTTTATCGGACTCGAACCAACTAAAAACCGCACGCCATCTCGGGTAACAGTAGCCGGGGAACCAGGTGTACCCTAGAAAGGAAATCCCTGGTACCCCGAGCCATCTACGGCTTGTAAATGATCCCCTCGTATGTGGTAATACGGTGTTCTTATTCTACTCCCCAAAGAGCGCGCGGGATCCACAGCACGTCGCACCACCGCCTTGGCCTGCTCATGCTAGGTTGACAGATGGCCTTACCTATCAACTTATTCACCTCTTTTAGAACAATGTTATGTGCGCAACAGTATACCCAGCTGCATATTATAGCAGTGACTTTCGGTTCAAATTGCAATGCGGGGTAAATGTTTGATACACATGTTACAGTAGACACACGTTGACTTGCCTTCGTGATCAACAAATCGATGCACATTCAACTAAATCTAAAGTATAAGGAAGAATCGTATTTTAAAGTAATCCCAGTAATAAGTTGAATAGGAAATAACAGGTAATCAGAATTCGTAGGCAAACACACGTCACGTGGGAAAATCAGCATACGAGTATAAGCAGTCCATGTCAAGTAAAAAAACAAAACAAACTCAAAAGAAAACATAGAGGTTGGTAACGAATGAACCAAAGATAAAAAAGCATCCGAAAATATTTTTTATCTGTGGAACGATCAACAAAATGTCATGTCATTATTAATTGTTAACAGACGATTTCCGTTGTCCTCATTGCCAGACTTATTTTAAGTCTGAAGAAATTATTGTATTTTATTTTATGACTAGCTGCGGGCCGCGGTGTTACCCGCGGTTGTAGTCGTAGAAGTTGTTTGATAAAATGTAGTCTATGTGCTATTCCACACTATAATCTATCTTTATACCAAATTTCATTCAGATCCTTTCAGTCGCTTTTGCGTGAAAAAGTAACAAACATCCATACATTTAAACAAACTTTCGCCTTTACATAATTTGTAAAATTTTAAAATTACTGGCTAAATATATAAACTTTTTTAAGTTTATATATTTAACCAGTACTGTACAGTACCAGTACAGTACAGTATTTGTAAACTAAGTAAATACAAAAATATTATGTTTTCAGATTTAAAATACGATCATTTGTATTGAAAATAGTGAGTACAATATTAATAACTTTATCAAATCCTTTTATACATACTTTTATACAAATATTGTTTTGAGACTTATATTAGGCTATGAACGGAATCGGAAAAAAAACTTACGAAATTATTTAGTCTATATTCAAAATAGAGTCTTTTCTAGACGTTTAATTATTTCGCGATTGTTCTTTGTTGATCATAGATGTTGTGTTTATGTATCGGCTTTTTCTAATATTTTATCTAAAGGGTTTTCCAACAAGAGGTGTTATTTTGAATCAGCCCTGTATTTCGGTAGCTGTCACTTTTGAAGCTTTTATTTTTTGACATTTGACAAGTAGAAACTACGCCATTATTAAAAATGGAACGATACACACTTCAACAACGCATTGAAATTATTAAAATTCACTACAAAAATGGTGAAAATCTTGCAGTCACACTTCGCAAAACTAAAGCATTTTTTGGTCGTCGTGAAGCACCTTGTCGGACCGCAATACAGAAATTGGTGGAAAAATTCGAGCTGTTGGGACAAGTTAGTGATGTGAAGAATAAAACCCGTGCACGTCGCTCAAGAACAACTGAGAATATTCCTGCTGTAGCCCAAAGTGTTGAAGAAAACGCAGGTTTGTCCATTTCTCGTCGTTCGTACACCGTGTTTTGCATAAAGACTTTGGTCTTAAGGCTTATAAAGTTCAGTTAACACAAGAACTCAAGCCGGCCGATCATCAACAACGTCGTGTCTTTGCTGATTGGGTACTTGAAATGCATGAAAATGATCCGGAATGCCATCGAAAAATCATCTTGACTGATGAGGCCCATTTCTACCTAGGAGGCTATTTCAACAAGCAAAATTGTCGCATCTGGGGCTCGGAAAATCCAAGAGTTATGGTTGAGAAGCCTCTCCATCTTCCACGTGTGACTATTTGGTGCGGTTTATGGTCCGGCGGGGTCATTGGACCTTACTTTTTTTACCCTGTCACGCATCGCCGTGGCAGATTGTGGTTGCATTGAATAAAGGAACTGATACGAAAAATAGATAAAAAAAACATCTTTGAAGCAGTTTGTATATTGTGACGAAATTTGAGCTCAAACAGTGTAGAACTTTTTGAGTTTTAGAAGCGTACACAAACCCACTTAACATTTATATTTATATATGTCACTGGAAATAAAACAAGAACCGCAAATGTATAAATTTCCTAGAAAATTTATAAAGCTTCATAAGATTCTAAACGAGAGAAGAAAACCTAACCTAACCTGGTTAGGGGGTAATAATGACAGGTGAGGCCATCTGTCACCCTAGCAGAAGCAGGCCTTCCTTCCTTCCAGGCACCAGGGACTTCCTTTCTAGGGTATACCTGGTTCCCTGGCTATTAGTACCTGTGACGGCGTGCGGTTTTAGTCGGTACGAGTCTGACATGCCACCGACAGGTGGTATCAGAGGGGATTTCCTCACGGAAAAAAAAAAGGGGGTAATGAGCGAGCCGACCGCCGCCAAGGAGGCGGATCTGGGACTGAAGAAAGCACCGGACTAGAGTTCGGTAAGTTAATCAATTTGCTAAAATGTGGGCGTAAAATAATACAATTTATATCTCGTTTAGAATCCTACGAAGGTTTATACATTTCCTAGAAAATTTATATATTTGCGGTTCTTGTTATTTTCCGGTGATGTATATAAGATAGATAGATAGAGATTTTATATAAATGGATTCATGTTATCTCAGCAGTCAATCAGCTCAAGATGAATAAAGACGTCAATTCATGCTTCACTACAAAACTTTTTACATAATTTTTCAAACTAGACTGGCAACTATTGACACAATTCACTTTTGATATAAACATAATCCGACGTAACTATGACGGTGTATTTATTTTAAATGCAGGAATATTTTTGCTTTTGCTTTAAGATTATAAGTATTATGATATTGATGGGAGATGCTTTTATTCTTTTTGTAAATAATGTTTTCAATCGATTACTTTTAATGTTATAGAAGGTCTTGAAGGGGTCCGGATGTCTTAACAACAGCTGTTCCCGGATCCCTCCTGTTACAGGCGCAGAGTGGCACACCGTGTGGTTTTAGTCGGTCCGAGTCCGACACACCACCCCGCCGCAAACCCCGGAGGGGTGACGGTCCGAGGGGATTTCCACACGTTAAAAAACAAAAAAAAAAAAAGGGTTTGTGTCAAGTTTTCCTTCTCTCTGCAGTGCTGTTGTTCTGCGTAGTTTTTTCCCTTGGTCGGGTCTTACGACACCCACGGGATGAATAGGGGTGGTGACACTCTGTATTCTTAATCCGTCACCACACGGTTATAATATAATTGATTAAATTAACAAGTAAAATAATGAATATCTCTCAGCCATTAACCTCAATTCCCTAACAGTACCTAAATTGATCAATTTTAAAGGAAAAATTGGCCGGACATAATTTTGTTGGCATATTTTTTTTAGCATCTAGTCATGTAAATATACAAAAGAATATAGGTTTAATCCCTAAACAATTTTATCTTAGTCATTACTATTAATAGAAGTCAGGAATGAAATATATTCCAGTTTTAAGTTGGGGAGGATATGTTTACATCAAAACATACCTTTTTTGTGCGGAAATCCCCTCGGATACCGTGGGTGGTATCCGAGGGTGTTTTTATCGGACTCGAACCAACTAAAAACCGCACGCCATCTCGGGTAACAGTAGCCGGGGAACCAGGTGTACCCTAGAAATTAAATCCCCGGTACCCCGAGCCATCTACGGCTTGTAAATGATCCCTTCGTATGCGGGAACTACGGTGTTCTCATTCTACTCCCCAAAGACCGCGCGCGCTCCACAGCACGTCCCACCACCGCCTTGGCCTGCTCATGCTAGGTTGACAGATGGCCTTACCTATGAACTTATTCATCTCTTTTAGAACAATTATAT